TTAGTTTGAGCTGTTGTATATCACAATTCATTCAGTGTAGATTTAGAAGAAGTTGAGATATCAGTGTCAATGTTAGTGATGATATTAATGTTAATATCAGTGTCAGTAACAGTTCAGAGAGAAAGTATTCTAATTGAAGAAGTATGTATAGTGTCATGAGTTGTTTTATCTTAATAAACTAATATCTTCAGATCTAAGAGTTGATATTCTCAGTTTATTTAATAGATGTCTACTACATTGAAAGGCATATCTTACTCTTATTATAAGAGAGTATCTGTCATTGAGTTCTGACTGCTAAGATGACAGTGTATAGTGAAATGAAAATGACTTAATAGCTCAAATCATTGCATTTGACATTCAGTAAGCTTATAAGTGATTGTGAAATACTTGAGATTCTTATAATCTGTGATTATCTTAAATTTGAAGACACTTCAGAGTTCAGAATCTCATTCTTCTAGACAGTGTATAATCATAAGAGGTTTCTTATCATAGATCTGACAATTGCATTCAGTGAGACTCAGTTTCTTAGATATAAATATACATGATTATAAGACGTCTTCATCATTGTATTATAATATAGGTTCTTCTGTGATATAGTGAGAGAAGTTAACTTTAATAACTATCTTATAATCACAATTAAATATTATAAATAGAGAAGTATTAATGAATATCTTCTTCATCTGTGTAAATACAGCTGCAGTATTCACTGATTACTGAAATACTGAGTTCTTCTTGATCAGTTCTGTAAGTGATCTCATAATATCTGAGAAGTCTTATATAAATCACTAATAGAAGTTTGTAAATCTGATGAAGCTTTGTATATCTTTCACAGTATATAAAGCTTTTTCTCAAGACTGATGAAGATCTTCTTAGAATTCATTCAAATTCTCTTATCAGCTTCTATAATAAAACCTAGATATTTTGTACTCTTGACTTTAAAATCACACTTATTAATATCTATTAATAGTTCTGCTTCTTATAATCATTGTAATACTCTCTGCACATGTTTCTGATATTTCTTTCTGAATTCATTAATAAAGATGAGGATGTTATCTAGATATGCAGATACAAACTTATCAAGAAAATCTCAGAGTACTCAGTTCATATACTTCTGAAATATACTGACACTATTTATCAGTTCAAAGAGTGTAACTACTCATTTAAAGAGGTTATAATATATTCAGAATACTGTAAGTCATTCATCTTCTTCAGTGATACAAATCTTATGAAATATTATGATAATATCTTAATTTGTAAACTATTGAGCTTATCTGATATATGCTTGAATTTCATTGATAAGAGATAAGAGATAACAATCTTTCTTTATTAATCTGTTCAGATCTTAATTGTTTACACAGAATCAGAGTTCTTCAGATGATTGCTTTGCAAAGAGAATAGAAGCTGCAGTGAAAGAGTTACTAATGTATATAAATTTCTTATTCAGCAGATCATTGAGTGTCTTCTGAAGAAGAAGAAGTTCATCTTGAGACATATTATAAAGAGAGTCTTATAATGACTCAGAGTTCTTATTATACTTCTTTTCTAACTTAATACTGTGATTCACTTCTGAGTCTTATAAGAGAGGTATATTTATAATATTATCTTATCAGAAAATATCTAGATATTGATAATATTATTAAGAGAGTTTTGTATGAGAATCTGTTATTATAGTATGAGATAACTTCTCTAGAGCTTTCTTGATATTAGTCAGACTGATGAAATATATTACTATATAATTCTACTATCAGTGACTTTATCAGCAGTCTTATCAATAACTTCTTTTTCAGAGTATTTCATAAGTGTTGACAGAGATCTGTGTAAGATTTATAGTCTTGTAAATATTATCTTTATGAATTCTATCATTCTTAGAGAATATTAAGCTTCTGTTTTAAGCATTTAACAAGATATCTTGTTCAGATAGTCAGACAAGTTCTAGTATAAGATTATAGTCAAGATTATTCACTTTATATATATAAGTATCTTCACATTGATATTCTCTGATATCTATATTTAGTTTTATTATATAATGAGTGTGAATGTCTTTTAGATCATTAAATTCTGTAAGAAGTCAGAATTTTAGTAAAAAGATATACTGAAGATTATAATGTCTTACAACTGAAAATTTAATCATTATATAGTAATATAGACTGCTGTCTATCATGACTTTCATATTATATGTATTATTGATCATAGTAGATACAAGAATCACATTCATTGTTATTTTCTCTTTAAATCATTGTTATCTGATCACTTCAAGCTTCTGTTTATAAATTTGAACAGAAGCTAATCTTTTCTCTGTTTCATCAGAGTATTCTTATAGTTATCTTTTAAATCTTTCTTCAATACAATGTCATTGATGTGATCTACTGATATTAATCCTTCTTTTGAATGAGAAGGTATATAGGCTGATTAGCAGTTGAAAGTGATATGTTCTGCTTGATTACAATTAATACATATTTCTTATTAACATTGATCAGTAACTTCTTCAGAAGTGATTTCAGAAACTTGAAAGTCTATTCAGATAATGAAAACTCTTGCTTATGTATAGATATTTAAGTTCACTCAATTCATAGTATCTGTATTATCATTCTTCAGCACAGATGTATAGATAACTGACATGTAATATCTTCTATCACTGTTCTGTATACTCTTGAGCTTGATCAGATGATTATTCAATGTCTGAAGTTATATACAAAAGTCTTTATAAGTTGAGTCTTTATTTACACTTATAAGACTCTGTAAGAGTTTCAAAGTTAATTCTTTCTCAAGCATACTAATCTTCATTTAATTCTCTCAAGATTGATCACCTGCTTGTAGAATCTTGATATTGAAGTCAGGAATAAATATTATAATAGGAGTATTTCTCTGTTAAATACTCTGTAATTAATCTAATACTTTCTATTGTATAGCAGTGTCTTGAAACAGAATATCGAGATATTTAATAATATTATCAGATGTTTACAATGCTGATTTACATGCTTTTATTCATGAATAAAACTTCTGTCTTATATGATGTTTCAATCAACCATTGATATACTAATCTTGATTAGTTAATAAATTAATGATATCTTCATCTACTCTTAATTTCACATGCATTTTCAATCTTCATGATGAATAGTGAGTGAGATCAGAAGGATCAAAATATACAGAGATATCTAGCTATTTCTTCAGTTCTTACATATTTATATCTGATTCAGTCAGTGTTGCAATTTTGTATGCAGTGATTTCTTATTAAGATAATTATTGAATTTCTTCATATTAGTGTTATTAAGTGGCATGTATATCAGCTATCTATTTTTATTATAATTTCAACATTGCTCAGAGTTATTGTTACACTGTATTCATGATTACATTTAAGAGTTCTCTTATATTATTAATAGATATGTTGTTTGTTGAATGTATAATAACTGTGAAATTGAAAGAAGTATAATTGTATGAATATCTTAATTATCTAAGATGTCAGAACTCTCAGATCTTTCACTGACATTCTCTTATAAGATCTTGTTACAGAGTTAGAGTAACTGATAAGTAAGCTTCTATTTAGAGACTCAGTATCTACTTAACTGATTATTCATTTCTCTATTTCTTATATATTATTACATATTCAGATATCTTCTTAATAGATAATTATTTCTAATAAGAAGATGATAAATGTTTTTCAAGTGTAAGAGATCTACACTGAATAGATTAGTATAATATATAGCTCTTATAATACAAAAGTGAAAAATATTAGTGAAGAAAAAAAGAGAAAGTATAGAAATCAGTGATTGAAGTGAATATTTATACATATATATATATAATAAAGCTTCAGAGTGAAAGAATAGAAATTCTGTGTATATAGTAAAACTTCAGAGTGAAAGAATAGAAATTCTGTGAGTTTTTCAGCTTATAATTAATGACTGAGAATTGAAGCTTTCAGCAGAATCTATGAAGTGTCATGAAATAGTCTATATAATTAATCAGATGTAGTCTGTCACATTACTTCATATTTCGGAGCTGAGAAGTTATTCTTACATGTATCTAATAATCACTTCTTTGTATTTGTCTATGTTCTTGTTGTCTTGATATAATAATAATATCTGTAATTTCTTCTGTATAATCAACACTTAATCTGTATTTAACATTACACAAGAACTTATTATAAGCTTCACTTGTATATAAGTATAATGAAAGAATAATAATAATTCTAAGAAATAAAATTACAGAACTTTAAATCATTTTTATTCACTGTTTATAGTAATAGAAGCAGATCTAATACTGCTTTCACTTTTAAATCAGTATTATATTTTAATAAATTGCAATCTAAATCTTTCTCTTATAAAGTTCTTAACTGTATAATATAAAAAAGCTTTAATATCTTCATTAAACTGAGTATCTAACTGATTCTTCAATTCTGATAAGATATCTAGTGTAATCTTTAACTTTACATTATATATTAAACAGAGTTCTCTGACAGTTCAAAGATTTCATTGAAATTAAGTGATAATTAATACTCCGGGTAATCTTAGCTAGACTGACTATGTGACTGTGTCTGAGATCAGAATCAGAATATTTAATAATCTTATTATTAATTTAACTAATCTTATTACATAGTTTTAATATTAAATAGTACTCTTATACTATCTCAGTAAGACTTACTGTTTACTCTTATTATATTTTTTAAATAAGATTATAATTTTCACTTCTTTATTTAACTTATTTTTATTACTTCAAATAACTTTAAATCTTATTTAAGTGTTATTAAAAAGTGTTACTTTGTAAAAAATTAAAAATAGTCTAAAAAAAACCTTAAAATGTTTAAAAATAGTCACTTTATACTAAGAATGAGACTAAATGAGATTAAATGAGATCACTTTCTTATTTTTTCTAAGTCATGATCTCATTTTGAGATCTGATATATAGTCACTTTGCATGTTTTTTTAATGATTAGTCCCAGCAGGATTCACACCAAGAAATGTATAGAACCAGATCAAATGGGACCAAACATGAAATTCATGGTCCCGGCGGCCAGTCTAATCTCAGCAGGCATATACAATCTTGTTGCTGGTGAAATCACTGAGTTGAGGTGACATATTGACGATAATGGTAAGAAAGATGTGTATTTGGTTGATTGAAAAAGACGTGTACTGGAGATAATTGAATGATTCTAGAGCAATAGGGATATTTTGATTTCTTTGCAGTGTTTTGCTACTAATTTTCAGGGGTGCTGGGAAATTCTGTTTTCGCAAGCCATTAGCCCTATCTCGGGGGTCCGTGCGTCGTGGCAACCCCCTTGGAAATATGCGAGCTACTAAACAAAGCTTTCTCGGCATCGTTTCCACCCAAAAATTTGTCTTGGGACTGGGAGCAACCGGGGCTGGGAATTATTCAGGCAGCTGAATTAATACCTGGCGATTTGAAGTTCTGTTCGCCTGACTGCTTCAATATCTGCCCGTGAGGACAAGAACATCACCACCTGATGTTACCGCGAAGATGCCCGGAACCAAACCTACCATGAATGGCAACAATCTCACTCTCGACACTGACGAGAAAACCGACTATTCGAGATGGAGACTGCGCGATGACCGTGGTCGACAAACTTGGCATTATTTGAAGACTGACGAGGAATTGAAGGCGTGGCCGCAGTCCATTCCGGACAAGTACCATCTTGGACTCCCGACCGTTCGTCAACACCTCCAATCCCCCCTCCCAACCCACCATCACATACTAAACGACATTACCTATAGGGTCTTCCTGATCTCCCTCCCGCGAAGACACCGCTGGACGCAGCATCCAATGGCCTTTCCTTCTTTTCAAAACTTCAACTCGAGCCTGGAAATTGGGCCTGCGAGTATGGCGGGCCCATGTTCCTTCTACCGGGCTTGATCATCACCTGGTATGTTACCGGCACTCCGATTCTTCCTGAGTACGCCGTTGAGATCAGGCGGTATTTATTCGCACGGCAGCACCCAGAAGATGGAGGTTGGGGTTTACATATCGAAGGCCACAGCTCTGTCTTTGGAACCAGCATGAACTACGTCGCACTGCGCATCCTGGGCGCCAGCGCGGAGGATCCGAGAATGATTAAGGCTCGTGGCATGTTACATAAACTTGGTGGTGCCTTATACGCTCCCCATTGGGCCAAATTTTGGCTCAGCGTCTTAGGAGTCATGCAATGGGATGCTGTCAACCCTGTTCCACCAGAACTCTGGTTTGTGTCCCACTATATCCCCGCCTAATGTGGATGAGCTTGACAACTTATATCCCTTTTCCTAGGCTGCTTCCGGATTGGGTCCCATTTGCGCCATGGAGATGGTGGATCCATATGCGTCAAGTGTTTCTTCCCATGACATACATATATTCAAAAAAATTCAGCCACCCAGTGGATGATCTCACTCGACAACTCAGCGAGGAAATTTACACTCAGCCGTACACGTCCATCAATTTTGCTTCTTATCGTGGCGCTATTGCCGATGCGGATAACTATTACCCAAAACATTGGCTATTAAACCTCCTTTTCTGGATACTTGCGAATGTGTGGAGTGTCCTCAGATGGCCCTCCTTAGTCAAACGCGCAGAAGGCTGGGTCTGGGAGCTAATTACCATGGAAGATCGAAACACCGATTATGCTGGCCTTGGGCCTGTTAATGCACCGATGAACACAATTTGTTGTTTCATACATGATGGACCTGAGAGTTATAGCTTCCATCGTCATCTTGACCGATTGCACGACTACATGTGGATGAAAGACGAAGGCATGCTCATGAACGGCACGAATGGAGTACAAGTCTGGGATACATCATTTATAGTCCAGGCGATCGATGTTGCGGGCTTTGCTGATGACCCAAAGTGGGGCTCCATGCTTCTCAAAGCATTGGAGTTTTTGGAGGATCATCAGATGACAGAAAATGTGCCGCAACAAGAGCGCTGTTACCGCCATCGCACTAAAGGCGCGTGGCCCTTCAGTACCAAAACCCAGGGATACACTGTCAGTGACTGTACTGCGGAGGGACTTCGTGCTGCACTTCAGCTCCAGAAAGTCCATGGTTTTCCCGCTTTGATTTCCGATGATAGACTGCAGGATGCCGTTGATACTCTTATTTCGATGCAGAACAAGACTGGAGGTTTTACGGAATATGAAAATACTCGAGGCTCTCCTTATCTTGAGTGGCTCAATGCTGCAGAAGTTTTTGGCGGCATCATGATAGGATACGATTATCCCGAATGTACGACCGCTGTCTTTACAGCGCTCTCCTTCTTCGGCAAATTCTTCCCAGATTACCGCGCAGAAGATATCGAAAGAGTAAAACTCAAAGCAGTGGACTATATTCGCCGATCACAGCGCGCTGACGGTAGCTGGTATGGTAGCTGGGGAGTCTGTTTCACTTACGCCGCCATGTTTGCTCTCGAAAGTCTTTCACTTGTTGGCGAAACGTACGAAAATAGCGAGCGGGTCCGTCGCGGCTGTGAATTTCTGGTGAACAAACAAATGGACGACGGCGGCTGGGGAGAGTCGTACCTTAGTTCTGAGCGGAAAGTGTACACGCACTACAAAACATCACAAGTTGTCCAGACTTCCTGGGCATGCCTCGCTCTGATGGAGGCGGACTTTCCAGACAAAGAAGTTCTCAAAAGGGCAATGAAGCTGATTATGAAGAAACAATCAAGAAATGGGGAGTGGCCTCAAAACGGAATTGAGGGCGTATTTAATCAGTCATGGTATGGCTTTCTCATTTTGCTTTCTGGGAAATTCCCACCCATTCTTAACTCGGCACGACGAGTAATGCTAACAAAAAACCTTCCTTCTAGCATGATATCCTATCCTAATTACAAACTTTACTGGCCAGTACGGGCCTTAGGCCTATATGCGAGGAAATTCGGCAACGAGGAAATCCTGTAGCGTACCATGGAAAGATGCAACCAGGCAGGTCATGTTGTTTGATAGGGCCAGATATTATTTCGGGTTGAAATTAAATCATTTTAATTGTGTAATTTGTCGGTTCTGTTTAAGAATATGATGCACAATGGCTATATATCACATCAATTAATTTAATAATCCTTCTGTTGAATTTTACTGGGGACTTCTCTTACATACCAGAGGCTTCGCTGCACCTTATCATGTCTATATGAACACTCACTCAGCTAGCTTTTCAATGAGTTCACTACTGTTTAATCTTACTTCTTGCATCTTCATGCTAAATAGCTTAAAGTTTCATGGAGCTTGTCAAGCCAGAGAAAATGCTCAACATGTACCTTCACTTACCTCATCACATTGTGAGCGAGTGTCTCACTACAACATTATTATCACCACAACATTACTTTTGATCAAGAATGAATATATTTGTAGCATCAATGTCTTGATATATGAGAATCACTCTCTTTAGATATGATAAGAAATGCAGAGAAATTTTTTTTTTTTTAAATCTATAATACAATATTTATAATTGTGAAAGGTGTAAAACTTGTGTGATTGAAAGATTGCTAGCTTGTGAGAAGTTATATGGTGAAAGGATTAGTAAGCCAGATCATGTGACCTGACACTCTCACTCATCAGAGTAACTATAGACAATGCTACATACAAAATTCATCTTCAAATCAAGTACAGGTATAAAAAATGACTGGAAAATGTGTAATAATGAAAAATCAGTTATAAGATATATTATTTTTTATCCCTCTATCTCTCTATCTTCTTCATCTTAATATTCTTCTTTCAATATAAATATTTCATTGTTTTAAGCAATTTAGTAAGCTTATCCATCATGTTCTCAGCAGATGAAATATATTAAATAGATATCTTATTCTTATAAATGAGATTCTCAACAATGTGAAAATGAAACTCTATATACTTTAAGCAGTGTGAAATTGCTTCAGAAGAGAATAGCTCTATGACAGACTTATTATCAGTATGAATTATATAAGTCAGATTATTAACTGTGATGAGAATAAGATAATTATCAGTATTCAGATTATTGAGATAGAATGACATGAATTCAGTATCTTCTAGAAGCTTGCAGAGATAGATCAGCTTATATACAGTCTTAAAGAATGTAATATATTCAGTCTCTGTTAATAATTTGAAGATCTCAGTTTGTCAGCAGCTCTGTTATGTATAGACTGGCTGCTGAGACTATGAATTTCACATTTAATCTCATTTAATCTGATCTCATACATTTCTTAGCGTGAATCCCACTGGGACTAGTCATTAAAAAAACATGCAAAGTGACTATATATGAGATCTTAAAATGAAATCATGACTTGAAAAAAATGAGAAAGTGATCTTATTTGATCTCATTTAGTCTTATTCTTAATATAAAGTTACTATTTTTAGACATTTCAAGGTTTTTGTTAGACTATTTGTAATTTTTCAAAAGTAATACTTTTTGATAACACTCAAATGAGATTTAAAGTCATTTAAAGCAATAAAAATAATTTAAATTAAGAAGTGAAAATCATGATCTCATTTGAAAAATGTGATAAGAGTAGACAGTAAGTCTCACTGAGACAGTATGAGACTACTATCTAATGTTAAAACCATGTAATGAGATCAGTCGAATTGGTAATGAGACTATCAAAAAATCTGGCCCTGGTTTCAGACACAGTCACACAGTCAGTCTAGTCATGTAATAAGATTATCTATTATATATAGACTGATCATATGACTGTGTCTGAAACCAGGACCAGAATTTTGATAGTCTTATTATCAATTCAACTGATCTCATTACATAGTTTTAACATTAGATAGTAGTCTCATACTGTCTCAGTGAAACTTACTGTCTACTCTTATCATATTTTTCAAATGAGATCATGATTTCTACTTCTCAATTTAAATTATTTTTATTGCTTTAAATAAGTTTAAATCTTATTTGAGTATTATCAAAAAGTATTACTTTTTAAAAAATTAAAAATAGTCTAAAAAAAACCTTAAAATGTCTAAAAATAATAACTTTATGTCAAGAATGAGACTAAATGAGATCAAATGAGATCACTTTCTCATTTTTTTCAAGTCATGTTTTTATTTTGAGATCTGATATATAGTCACTTTGCATGTTTTTTTAATAACTAGTCCCAGCGGGATTCACACCAAGAAATGTATAGAACCAGATCAAATGAGATTAAATATGAAATTCATAATCTCAGCGGCCAGTCTTATTATATAGATAATATAACTGATGATTAAATGAGATTCTGAATCTCTACTGACTCAATTGATATCTGTATATACTACAGATTCAATATTAACATCTCTGTGATAGATTATATCTTTATTGATTGAACTCTGTAGATATCAGAGTGTATGCTTGTATATAACTCAGTTCTTTGATATAGGCTGAGAGCTGAATTGTGCAAGAAATCCTGCAGTGAAGCTTACATCAGCATGTGTATTAATTATCAGATATTGTAAACATCTAATACTGAATTAATAGAACTGTAGAATAAATTCTGCTGTATATACAATTGATTTCTCATTATCACTTATAAAATTGATGTTCTTATTCATAGAAGTGAATATAGAATAATAGTTATTTATTAAGAACTTCTTCAGAAGATTTCTTATAAATAGAGATTGAAATAATATTAATAAAGTTGAATCTCTATCAATCTTCATTTCAAGATAATGATTGAAATTCTCTATATTCTTGATCTCATAATTAGCAGTACTTTCAGCTTTGACTCCGCTCAGATCATTGATTTTCAGGCTGTAGAGACAGACATTATTTATATAGATAATTATATAGATCTGTCTTTCATTATGAATAAATAGTTCAGTATCATAGAGACTGACACAGAAGTCTGAGTATAAAAGCATTTTTTATAGCTTCTCATACTATAAGAGTGCTGCTTGCTTCAGACTGTAGAGTCTCTGTATCAACTTATGTATAGGATTATCTCAGTCTTTGCAGAATGCTGTGAGTTGATTCATATTTATCTGTTCATCAGCAGATAGTTGAGTATTTAAAAAAGCAGTCATCATATCAATCTGCAGGACATATCATCCCTGGGATGCTGAGATCATCATAAGAGCTTGAGAGATGAATGCGGAGACAACAGATGCAAAGATTCTTGAGTAATTAATTCTCTTCTATTAATGATTTCTGCAGACAACTCAGTGAGTCTTATAGTAAATAATCTCATTCATATTATTGAAATTTTTATTGAATACTCATTGACTGTAAAGAATACTCATTTATAATGTTCTCTCTATCAGTTATCAGATCTCTATCTATTTCAAATGATTCATCTCTTTAACACAGATCTTATAATAATATTTTCATTTCATGAAAGCTTTAATGTGTATGAGCTTTTTCAGAATTGAAAGTGCAGTAATCTCAGAATTGAAAGATAGATCTTTAAGACTATCTCTTACTAAAGCTTCTCTCACTGTAGTAATACTTCTTATAGATGTTGAAGACTCATCAGATTCAACTGTGAGTTTCAGAGAGTTCAGTGTATTCTGCATCAAAAAGATAGATATTCTCACAGAGATTTCATAGTTAATTCATCAATTTTTATTGAGTATGAGAAATAATGAACACTCAGGTTGAATTTCCTCATCAATGAATAGATTATTAGTTGATGAATCAGAAGTCACTGAAGAAATTATTGCAGAAATCATTGCAGAAATCATTGCAGTGAGTAGATCTGATGTTACTGAACAAATCATTACAGTCACTTTATAAGCTGTATTAAGTAGAATCTTTGAGTTGTGTGTTATCAGTATCAATGAATCAGTAAGATAAAGATTATTCTTAAAGATGATGTCTTTTAATATATATAAACACCTGTTGAAGGGATTCATCAATCTATAATTGATAAAATTATCATATTTCACAAAAATCAACTCTTTGAAATGAAAAGCCATCTTATTGATGAGCTTGAAGACTATCTTCAAGAATGCTTTGCAACCTCATCAGTGAATGCCACATGCAGAAGATAGAGCTTCAAGCCAGGCCTTATATAATGTAATTAACTTTATATTTTCAGAGTCTTTATATAATATTATTGAGATTAATATAAGATTAAGCAGCTCTATGACTGCAATAACTGTCTTATCTCACATTCATTCAGAAGTGAAAGAGTCTATTAATAATAATCAGAACTTCTCAATGATTAAACTGCCTGACTATTTAGATGCTTCATCTTATTGTAAAGTACAAGAGAGAGTTAGCTCTTATTTTATTTCTTTGCTGAGTATATATACTGTAACCATATTTGAATTCAATTCTTTATAATCTGAGTGAATAGGTGCAATGTCATGACTCATCACATTCGTGATAAATTGATTAAAGATCTGTAGATATCTCAACATCTCATTCTTGTATTTCAATAGAAATATTCACCTTATTCAGATGATATCATATGTTATTATCATTGCAAGCTTCTTGCCAGTGTAAGATGATATATTTTTTTCAGTCTTAAGAGTCTCATCATCACTGAATATATTCACTCAAATCTTCATGATCTTGCAGGTGATATGATGTGATGTGAAATTCTTGTAGAATGCATGTTTCTGTTTAACCTTAGCACATGTGACACAGAATGATAGCTTTTTCAAGCTGATAATAATAATATCAAATCGCGGGTCTGTGGTCATTTTTAATATACTATTTTCACTGATATGACTAAGTTAATGATGTCACTCATTTATCAGAAGCTGCTTTGAAAGAACTGCAGATAATTGAGATGAAGATGAGATAATAAAGAAATCAGTATCTGAATTCTTCGAGTTGATTAACTGTTCAACCTTCTTATAACTGAAAGATCTTAAGAACTCTGCATTTGAATTGTAATCTATTGAGATTGTCTTTGATTTCAGAACAGTTATATATGTCACTGCTTCATACATCAGATTGTTCATTACATCATGAAATGTCAATAAGCTGTTGAATAGAATGTAAATATTATTATGAAACAGATTAATGTAGAAGATATCACTGTTGATAGATAATAAAAACTCAAAGTAGTTCTCAGTATTAACTTGTATATTATGATGAATATAGCTCTGACACTTCATAAGCTCAGCAGAGATCAGATTTGCAGATAGTTTTAATGTGTAGTATACATGATTAAATTCTATCAATCTTTCACTCACTGAGATGAACACAGTACTGACACTCTGAATCTTCAGAATGACCTTGTTAATAACCTGAACTGTTGAACTGTTGATTACTATAAGATCTGAAAATCATGATCTATCGCTTGCTATGTGGCATTCAGTACCACTATTTCATATAGTGAGAGAATCATTATAAGGTTTCATAAAACAGACTGGTACATTTATTTTCTCTGTAAGATATATCATCTGAAAGATCTCTGAATTATCTATAATGAATAGTTAAGTTCTATTCTCACTATTATTCTTCTTTTCTTTGAATTTCTTTATTCTTGCACCATTGTA